TTAAAAGGGCAAGTTATTGTAGATTCCTGGTTTTCAAACTTTATGAATCACTTGGAGAATCTTAATAAAATGCAGATTCTGATTCATTAAGCTGGATGGAAAATCTGAGATTCTGGATTTCTAGCAAACCCCCAGGTATTTCCAATGCTGCTGGTATATGGACCATACTTTTGAGTATCAAGAGGGTGTATATCCCCATCTAGAAAACACTGATATGGTAATGTGGACATCAAGATTTTATTCAACTAACGCTTTCATGGAGATGGGGGAAATAAAAGCTTACACACATAAAATTAGACACAAGCACACATTTAGACATTTTATTTTGTAATTCTAATGCTTTTTATAACACTGAGAATAAGAATAAAATTTTCTACAGAAGACACATTTCTGCCTTGGACATCATTCAGTAACCTATAGCTACATGACAATGACTCAGTGATGCTTTTCTTAATCCTTAATGATGTTGTTTACAAAATGACGTCTGTACTGGGACTTTCCCAGAGGATAGTGACACATTTGCCACATAAATGGAAACTTGAAATACATATTTTTGGCATTAGGCTGGAAAGGACAAAACTGTGGCCCAATAACGTAATATCATGAATCTATAAAAATTAGTTCACCTTTGAAGCAAACATGGTTTTTGCATCATTTAAGGAGCTCTATTTTCTTCAGCACTAAACAGGCTTTCGTCTAACAATAAGAGCTAATATTCATGTAACACTTAGCAATTTACAAATTATTTTCACATATATTATCACATTTTATACTTGCAGCAAACCTATGAGAGAGGGCAAATATTAGCCCCATTTTCAGAACAGAAAAGAGACTCAGTGAAGTCAAATGGCTCACTAAAGTGTATAACTTATAGTTGGGTATTCTGACTGTAAATTCAGTATAGTTTCCACCATACATCTAAGATAAGACTGTGTCTTAAAGTAAATTGTTATAAGATAAGCTCCTGATTACCATTTCTTTTGCTGGCATGCGTAAGCATTGTCATCAAACAGGTGAAGAAATTCATGTGGGTCAAAGAGTGAAATGCTACAGCAAGACACATGGGGTCTACACGAGAACTACATTACCTGTTTCACTCCACCTACCGTGGAGGTCATAGAGTATAGGAATATTGCCTTGTCAATTTCTGTGTCTTTCCCTGTCTTGGTTCTTTGAAAAACTTTTCTCCCCATAGCAGGGATTACTTTGCCCACCTGTCTACATACTAACCTCCACCCCAATTGCAATCATGAACTTAGTTTAGGCAAAGGGTATATAGGAAACTCTAAGGGCTTTTGTGATTCAATATCAGGACATTCAATTTCTATTCCATATTTGACCCTGTGTCCCAACTGACCTCCATTACTATTTTTTCCAACTAGTTCTTTGGGTCCTGTTCAGCTGCCTAGTATTCCAGGCCCTCTAGAATGGAGAAGCAGACTTACTCTTGCCCCCATCATTCCCACCTTTCTTCCAGAGATTAAAATCCTTCTTTACCTGGGGTACAATCTCCTGCTATCAAAACTCCTGAATGATGACTGTCTGCCTAGACAGCTGAGTACTGCACCCCCAACACACTGGATTTCTGATCACCACATCTCATCAACATGACTGGGTAAGCTTTCATTTTTTCTAAACTTCTGATTCTGACTGCTGGTCTGAATTCTCTGTTTGTTTGTTTTAATCACATTTGCCTAAATCACGCCTTGCCTACCAGGTCTTAACTCATATCATAGTCTGGATTTGAAGCAGAACATTTATGTGCAGTTGTTGTATTGGACATACAATTTCAGGGGGTAAGAATGAGGGTTATGGGTAATGAATCAAGGGAATAGGGAAAGCCAATCCAAGGATGCATTATTGAGTTGACCTCAGCTAAGTGAAACTAATTACTTAATCCCATTGAATTTTTCAATAAATTGTATAAACTCAATCCCATTCATGGGTGGAAACAAAGGGGACGAATTTATCTACCATCTCCTATCTCCCAATGGAAAAAATTTCATTCATTCACCGAGTCCTTCATGTTTCCTCTTTGTTCTTATATAGGCATCAGGTGTGATCTTCAGTAGCACTCACTGGTAAATTCCATCCCAGGACTTGAGTATACAATGAGGGTATAAGGTGAGGTATTGTCAGGTTGCACCTGCAACTTGTATGTTGGAACCCACACAGATGATTGCTATAATGACAGATGGGATAAGGTACAGATGAAGCCAAGATGTACAAAAGAAATGCCTACTACATCCCATCATCTGAAGTTGGTCTAGGTGTATTCAGTTGACTAAATTCTTATCAATGAAATATAAGTAGAAACATGGGAAATTTCTAGAACATCCTTAAAAAATATGTACATACCTGATATCATCCTGAAAAGGAGCAAATGAGCCCCCATATTTTCTGCTTCCTCTATCCTAATGCGTAGAATGCAAATGTGATGTCTGAAGCTCTACCAGCCTTCTGGCTCTCTATGAGAATGAAGCTTAATGGTTAGCTGAAAGTAATGTGAGTCTGTGAATATCATGGAAATACCATAGCTATTCTGGACTCTTCATCTTCAGTTATCTGTTATGTGATGTACAAAAATCATCCATCTCGTTTAATCCCTGGGTTTTCTGTCCCTTGCAACTGAAATTAATTTTCACTGATACACGTTCCCTGCTAGTTTTCCATGCTCCATTGAGGGTAACTAAGCCATGCCTCATAGTGTTTCAATACCCAAATTGCCTGCCTATGTAGAGGACATAGATATTAACATAATTTTAAATCCTATTACCCCAAGCACTCATTCTTTTGCTGCCTACATACCAATTTATTATTATACAATGCATACATGGTGTTTACTACTTTATGATTGATTTAATTCACCACTCCAAACCATAAGGGGAGAAGACGTCCCATGGCATGGGTAAAACATGCTTCTCCAAGACAACTTAAGCAGAAGAGGTTGGTCACAGCAAGTTCAAACTCACAAACTTGTCAAATTGCTATTTAGTGTAATAACAGCCAAAGATGTCTATAGCTCAGACATCTCTTCTGAGCTCCAGTCACATGTGTTCAGGTAAAGTGGACATGCATCTACCTGGAATTTCTACAGACAACCCAAATTGAACCATTCCAAAAGAGAAAGCTTCATCTTCCCCCTAAAATCTCTTCTTCCTGTTTTCCTGATTTCATCAAATGGTGCCAGCATTTACATGGGAGACATACTCTAGTCCTCCTGCTCCCTCACTGTGTCTTCCAGTCATCCCCCAAGCTTTGCCTATTCTAGTTCTGTGATAAAGCTCTTCCATCCCTAGACTCTCATCCCACCACCTCTCCCTTAATTCTGGCCCTCAAAATTTCTTGCTTTGATGATTGCAGTGACGTGAGACCTGGTCTCCTTAGCAACACACTTCAATCCAGGCTTCACACTATGGTGCCACCTATCTCTCTAAGGCATGTCAGAGCATGTCACTCCCTTATTTATCAGCACCATACTGTCCCAACTGAGAAACGGGCCAGCCCTATCACTCCCTTATTTAAAGTCCTTAATGATTTCCAGTCCTGTAGAGGCAAAAAGCTCAAATCTTCAGTGTAAAATTTAGGACCTTCCAAAATCTAGACCCAACCCACATTATGACTGCTCTGAATCTAGCTGATTTAGCAATGCAAACTAGTTTTTTAAATTTATTTTATTTTAACATTTACTTGTACATATTTATGATGTACAGTGCGTTGTTTCAATACATGCATATACTGCACAATGATTCACCTAGGATAGATAGCATAGTTTTGTACCCATTATTCCACCACTTCTCCTCTCCACTGTCCTCCCTCCTTCCCTCCCAGCCTCTGGTAACCTTTATTTTACTCTCTACTTCTATGAGAATCACTTTTTTTGTGTTTTTTAGATTCCACATATGAGTGAGATCATGTGGTATCTGTTTTTCTGTTCCTGACTTACTTCACTTAACATGATGGTTTCTAGTTCCATCTGTGTTGCCTCAAATGATAGGATTTTATTCTTTTAATAGCTGAATAGTATTCCAGTGTGTGTGTGTGTATATATATACCACAGTTTTTGTTTTATACATTCATCTGTTGATTGGCATTAGGTTGATTCCATCTCTTGGCTATTGAAAATAGTATTGCAGTGAACATGGGAATGCAGGTGTCTTTTTGATATATTCATTTCCCAGGAGTGGGATAGCTGGGTTAAAGGTAGATCTATTTTTAGTTCTCAGAGGAATCTCTGTACTGTTTTCCACAGTGGCTGTGCCAATTTACATTCCCACCAACAGTGTAGGAGAGTTCCTCTTTATTTGCATCCTCACAGCACTTGTTATTTTCTGTTTTGTTGATAATAGCCATTCTAACTAGGGTGAGATGATTGATCTCATTGTAGTTTTAATTTGCATTTCCCTGATGATTAGTGATGTTGAGCATTTTTTTCATGTGCCTGTTGACCATTTGTATGTCGTCTTTTGAGAAATGTCTGTTCAGGTCTTTTGCTCATTTTTTAATTGGGTTATTTGTTTTGTCTTTTTGCTGTTGAGTTGTTTGAGTTCCTTGTATATTCCAGATATTAGCTCCTTGTCTGATGTATAGTTCAGCAAGGCAAACTTACTAACATTCCCATAAACATCTCATTTATTTATGACTCTGTACGCAATTGCTGTGGCATCTGCAACATGCATGTGGTTCTCAACTAATGAAGCCAATCCAGGAAACCAAGCAGGAATGTATCTCCTAACATGAGCCTTCTTCAACCACCTTTAATTTCTGGGCCAGGAGAGTCTGTCCCTCCTTCATCAGTGTTCCTACACCCGTTTACATGTGCCTCCTTTGTCCTTACATGTGCCGTGTATGTGACCGTACAATGCAGACTTTCCATGCGGCTAAAGGTCCTGGAAAGCAGGGGAGAGAGGCATCCATCGTACATCCGCCTTGGCCGTACTTGGGCCAGCGCTAGGGCACACTGCGCCACTGTCTGAACAACCAGAAGCTCGCGCAGATACATGGCCTTCAGAGGTCCCCAGAACAGCTTGCAGCAACAAGAAGTCCACCTCTACTCTTCTGCCCCTGCCCCAATACCCCAAAGGCCCTTTTGCCTCCATTTCAGGCCTGGTATCACCCTGGTATCCATTTCAGGCTTTTGGCTGGACGTGCTGGGGTGACCCAGGCTCTTTTTCCAGAAGTTCCTCTAAACCAATGACTCTGCCTCTGAGTGATGAGATGGCTTTGAGCAGCCAGGCCTCTCAGCACAGATGACCTTTTCCAACCACTCTGTTCACCGTGGCTTGTCCTGAATCATCTCACGGAGTTGGGACCTACGCATTGCCACGAAATGCATGATTGCAGAGGAAATATTGCTTAGAACTTCTGTCTCTGCCTTTTTTTCCTTTAGAAAATAGAATCTCTGTCTGGTTACACTCCTCCCCCCACCCTCCCCCACCCCCAAGCCTAGAATCAAGTGGAATAAATGCAGAGAACTTGTCCTGTGTTCTGCACAGTCAAGAAACGGGAAATTCAATATGTGTTTACAATGACAGCAATGTTAAAATAGCTCATTCATGCTACGTTGCCAAATGAAGGATAACAGAGACATAAACACTGTCCTTAAAAAGATTCTTTTAGAAGAAAAGTATGAATCGAATCATTTACTGAAGTGCTGTTTGAACAGATGGTGTGATTAACAGCTAACATGTAAGCCATCCTGGGAGTTTATGGAAAAGTAAACAAGTGCAGCTAAAAAGAAATCGCTCTACTCCCCAAAAGGTTCTTTCATTCATTTTACTAGGAAAATTGGAAAGTCTGTGTTTTGAAGGCTGCGTTTCCTTGGGGGATGTTAGGAGCGAGCAGGAAGGGGAGTTTCTTCAGAGCGAGAGCACAGCAATGCACAAGTGAGCTCCGAACTCGCCTCCTGAGGGATGACATGGGTCTGAGCCGCTGGGCCCCTCTGCAGAGCTGACCCTTGCCGACCACTAAGGACACTCTTCATCTCTGCTGGTCCTGAAGGGCCTCATGTGCCTGGGAGGAGGGGAAGGGAGTTAAGGGCTGGGAACCCATCATGGACCTGGCTTTGTGCTAGGCACTTGACATGGCCTGCTCCTTTATGGCTAGCTCAATGTCCCTGGGAGTCATGTGTTATAAGGCCAATTTTCCCAGTGGGGAAACCGAGCTTCAGAAAGGGGGACCTGCCAAGGCTACACGGATATGTCCTTCGTGGAGCTGCCCCTGAAACCCTGGCCTGTTGTGTCTCTGAGCTCTTAGGAGAGGCAGCTGACTGTGGAGGAAAGAGCACTGAGCAGGATGCCTGGAGTGGGTGTGAAAGTCTCCTCTGCCGGCTAGTGCCTTGGGGACAGCAGCTGTTCCCTTACGCACCACAGTTTCTCCGTCTTTAACATGTGGGTGCTGTACCGGGTGGGCTCTAAGTACCTTATCTCATACTCACATGGTATCGGAATATCAAGTGGGCTTCCCCAGCAACGTTCTCGACCAGCCTCAACTGACATAAGGAAGAAGTTCTTGGACACTGGTGCAGCTGAAGCCACGTGCCACCCACTTAGGCAAACGCTGAAAGGATTGGCTGACCCTTGGTGGAGCTCTTTCCCTGCTGCCCTCACCAGAGCTCTTCTGCTTAGTGATGGGCCACCACAAGTTGCCCTAGTGTTCATTCATTCATCTCATATTTATTGATTGAGCAGTGATGCTCCAGGCACTGTGCTAGTCACTGCAGAGACAATGGCGAGAAAGAGGGACATGGTGTCTCTCCTCCCCAAATTAGACCCACTGGGGAGACACACGAGTGAACAGATAATTAAAATACGGTTATAGAGAGATAAGAGTGAGCTTAAGAAAAGTGATTCAAAGTTTTACCTGAAGAGTCAAGGAATGCTGCCCTGAGGTCGAGATGTTGGCACCAAACAATAAATCCTTATCCACCATCCAGATATTTAGAATCATCAGGTGACTGCTGCAGATTTGCTTGCCTTTCATCCAGCATTCGGTACCATTTACATGCACGTGTTGGTTTCCCAGGCCATTTAGAGCCAAACGTTGCCAGGAAGGCAATGATGTCTTTTATTTTTCCAAAGATCTAGGGACTTAAGGAGGAAAGCAACTTTAGTGATAATAATCCAGAAATGAACTCCTTCTTTGGGGCATGTTCCTGTAAACACTTCTGAGGTCTTTCATGTGAAGGGCCTTCTAATTGTCTCTCTGGGACCTAATCCTGGAGGCTTTGAAATGAGTTCCATTTGTAGTTTTGAATCCTGTGATACTGTGTTCCCTAGCAGGAGTGATTCCACCTCCTTCCCGTTTTTTTTCTTTTCACAAAATAGACCTTGAGAATGTTCTCTCCACATAGTAAAGGAGATGCCCCTTCTGAGTCACATTGAGTGAATTTGCTTCAGGTCCGTAGTAAGTGGAATGGAAAAGCTTACTGTGTGTCCTGTGTTGATATGTCACACTGCTCAGTGCAAGGACTCCTTCCTTGGATGGAATGATCTATTGGAACATTGCTCTAGGTCAACAGAAGAAAAATTCCCGTTACACCTCAGATACCCATCTGCTGTAACACTTACCCCTTGGCACCTCACCTTATAACCACTTGTGTCGAAATGTCACTCCTCACCACCCCCTATCCAGCTGTAAGTTCCTGCAGGCAACAACATCTTTGTCTTCCTGAGATGTCACGTGCCTAGGGCCAATGCCTTGTATGTAATAGGTGCTCGAATAATATCTGGCCAATGTCCAAACTTCCAACATTGTTCTATTGAGCTCTTGATACTGTTTTCATGGCACATAAAGCCTGTCATAATTCATCCTCAAAAGCAACCATCTTCATTTTTTCATGGTACCAATATTGTTTCATTAATTTATCAGGTGGTAAAAATGTACACCCAGTAACTGCTTAATTCCAAGGATTTTTCAGGTTTTTAAAACTTTATATTTGTTCATCTACAGTAATTTGTTGTGAAGACTAACTTCTGACCTTACAGAACATATTCTTCTCCTGGAGGAGAGAGAAATAGCTAAATTGGCCCTTCACTTCACCATGCTGGGCTTTTCTTTGAACTATAATCCAGTAAAGGACAATGAATGTGAACAAAGGCTTATGATAATTCCTCTAAGTCTATAATAATTTACTTGTATTGTTGTTACATTTAATTTCCATTAAAAGCTTTATCTTGAATTTTTTTCTTAGTGAAAAAATAAAATAATATTCATCATGAGTTTTAATCGTCTTTATATTAACCATAGGAAAGCAAACATACCTGAAATTAGAGAGCTAGAAGAGTTGGTAATGATTTTCTACTGCCATGGGAAAATGCTTGAGTGGGAAAGCAGGTCACAACATTTTCTATAATGTGACATAATGACTGTGGAAATAGGATAGGAATGGGGAAAGAGCCCAAATATTGTTTGTGGTCATGGCTAAACAATGGGATTCTCTATGGTTTTTGTTCCATTACCTGTTTTCTGTGGCTTTCATGTTTCTGCTTTTGATTGAAAAAATGTTGGATTAAAATAATAATTGTCTAGTGAGACTCACTTGTTTTATAGATGAGAAAACTAAAGTCCAGGGTGTCTGGCAAAGCCAGGTCAAGAAATCTGGCCTCAGGAATTTTAGACCAAGTTGTACTTTGAATTCAAATTTGGGGAAGACATACAGTTAAAATTTCACTTTTTAATTAATCTAAAAATTCAGATAAGAAAAGAATTCTATGCATTTGAAAACCTAGAACTCATTCTAAAATCAGGTGGGAAAACACAGTTTTATGTGTGCAATGAATATGCCTACTAGGCTTCCTCTTTCTTTCAGATGCAGTAGCCACTTGGATGCATTGTCTTGTGGGGATCTCACTTGCCCAACTCCCTAGTGCCTCCTCTTGGTCATCGATACTCTTCCCAAGTGTTTATTGCCAATAGTGGCTTCAGATACCCAGCGATGCTCATAACCTCTGGTGCAAAAGATTAAGTTGTTTTGGCAAATGGCTGTCAATGTGTCTGTGTTTGAGTTGGTTTCACTGAAGGAAACCTGAACTTTTGACATCGTGGGTGCTAATTCTTGCTAATTGTTAACACCTAATAATTAAATTGGCAGAAATTTCACTCCAGGGTCAGGGGATGCAAAAACTGGCAGGCTTCTTTAAAGGCAGACTTCATAGAGGGCTCTGAGACTGGGGATTGCAGGATCAACAGGATGTTTTCAGGCCTTAGTTCTACGAGGGATTCAGAGGGTTCAGAGGGTCACAAAGGAATGCTGTTTAATGTAGAGCACAGACCTGTGGACACCTAAGGAACTACTATTCACAATGGCCTGTAGGGCATGTCCAATCAGCATAATGCAAAATGCAAATTCAAGGGGGCCATTCAGGCTACAGAACAAGATTTGAAGAATAACCACCTTCCCTTCTAAACCAGCAGTTGACAAACTACAGCATGAGAACCAAATCCAGCCTACTGCCTGTTTTTGTAGATAAAGTTTTATTAGAGTACAGCCATATCCATTCATTTACATAATCTCTATGGCTGTTTTTGTGCTGTAACAGCAGAGTTCAGTAGTTGCAGCAAAGACCTACAGCCTGGAAAATAAAAAATATTCCTGATTACAGAAAAACTTAGCCAACCCCTGCTGTAGCTCATAAAAGAGAAAAGTTAGAAGAGATAATCCTGTAAGGAAGCCAGGATAAAAGGGGAGGTAAAGAGATCTCAACCTATAGTGTGGAAGCTTATTAATGAAAGAGCTTGATATAGAGAAGGAAGAATGGGGGGAAACCGTATTCCTGGACTAAAATTGACCTGTATAAGGATATTTTCATAAGGGTGTTTCTGAATCACCTAAAGCTGGTGTTGGCAAACTATAGCCTGCCCATCAAACCTGGTGTACTATGTGAGTTTGTAATTGAGGTTTTATTGAAAAACAATCATACTCATTTGTTTATGTATTTTCTATGGCTATAACATTATTACAAAAGTCTTTAATAACAGGCTAAGACATTTAGCACTTTGTTTCATCTCAAGTCCCCTCCTCTTTTTGTCTTCTCCAAACTGCAAGACCTCTGAATCAGCTTTAAGGGCTCTTTTTCTCCCTCTTAGGTTTGCCTATTGTTCTCCACCTGTTCCAGCATCG